CAAGATGCTTCTTCATAATTTAACTTATGACATTTGTGCCATTTTAATGCAATTTACTCTGCCTATTTAAACTTCTAAAAATATATGTGGACTGTGAAGATGAGCTAATTGATACAAACAAAAAGTCCTTTTTAAACACTCCTTAAACCACAGAGCAAATAAATAAGTCACAGCTTGTTTTTGTGTTTTAAATTAAATCTAGACTGTCACACTATATTTCACACACTGGTTGGCGAAAAATATAACATTAGCTATAATTGAACACACACATCTGCAAAAACCACCATCTGTCTTCCAGAAAATAGCGTTTTATATTTCATAGCGGTGTATGAGTGGAAATAAGGTATGGCCCCTTTAAGAGCTGCGCGCGTCCTCTTTACCGTCTGCACTCTCTCAGGATGCTAATCTAGCTAGTACAGTGTAGTTCGACTTTTTCAGTTTTCCTACACATTCACAGGGAACTACGATATAACTAAACATTAAATTACCATACCTCTCAATCTACATTTTCCCACGTTTTTATCGTTGTATTTGTTGTAAGACTGTGACTGTCCACTTGTTTCACGGAGCAGCAGCAGCCAGCGCGCGCATCTCATTAGTAACCTGACCTGCATGGCCAAACGCCCGCTGAGCAGAAATCAGCTCTCAGAGCCTCAGTATGACTATTACTGTGTTATTAAAAAAGGTAAAACTGGACCTAAATCGGTTGATCAGCTGTCATCATTGATTGACAGCATTTCTCTTGTTTCTTGTGTTGACGAACTTGACCAACTACCTATCAGATCTGGGGTGGCCACAGGGGTGGCCAATGAGCTTTCAGGGGTGGCCCTGGCCACCCCAGGCCACCCCCTAGAATCGCCAGTGCAGCTGTCAATCATGATGCACCGTTTTTATCATCACATAACTAACTAAAAACAAACTTATTTTAAAAACGAACACTTGAAATTACATCAACGTGATAGAAACTACAGTAAATGACAGAAACTATCTTTGGAAAAAGGATATGTGAAGTGTAATTTAATTGTTTAGTTGGTCTCGCGTCCCATTGAATAACATGGGGATGCGGGATTTATGAGCTATACTAGGTCCGGTCACAGGGGGGCGATCGAGACGTTTTGGCTTCACTTTTGAGGGCTTGGCTGGAACGTCTTACCGTTTTTAGTTACCTGTGAAGCACTTTGGGCAACAATGTTGCTATTAAATGTGCTATATAAATAAATATAAGTTGAAGTTGAAGTAAACATTAAAAGCAAAAGAAATGGCAAGATTTTATGTAAAACTACAGTTATTTATTTTTATTTAAGCTTTACTTAACCATGGAGAGTCAAAATAGTTATAAACTGTATCTTATTAACGGAAAATTACTGAATTTTTACGAGATGTTTACTTTCCGGGGGTTTTCTGGCATCCCAGCTCTTTTTTTTATCAGGATTCTTTTTTTTTTTTTTTTTTACAGTGACTTTTCATGAAGTCTTATGGTCTACTCAGACAAACAGTTTTCTGTCAGTATCTTATTCATTTAGTTACCTCTGGTAAGATATTATAATGTTATAAGTTGTTAATCCATGTGAGAAAATATCCCATTGCATTACTTATAATTATGCAACCGTATAAACATTTCTGGTTATTTTAGGTTTTAATTAAAGTGGGTTACAACCTTATAGCAACATCAACTTAGGTTAATTAATGAATATACAAGATTAAATATGTAAGAAAACAAGAGTCTGTGAATCAGGAAGTGTTTAGTTTGGACTGATTGTTTGTGTTTAGAAACTAACAAAATGATTTAATTTAAATACATAAATAATGCATTCCAGCTTAGTACTGTTTACTATGATTGTGTGTCCTCTATCGGTCTGTTCCGAACATTATTTTCAGGATATCCTGTTAAAATGATTAGACCCCAGTGGAGCCACTGTAGCGATGCTGGAAACAGATTGAATGATTCAAGTGCTGTCAATGGCCTTAAACTATGACTCTCAACCAATTTAGCCCTTTCCTTCCAGTTCAGATGCTCGACCTCTTAATTTCCTCCGAATGGGCTGTTTACTCTGTGTATGTGTTCACAAGCCACAGAGAGCAACATAGATATATACAATGCATATATATATATATATATATATATACACGCAAATACAATATATACATATACAATGCATGAGATATATACAACGCATGATTTCACAGCCAAACTGCACTGGTTACCAGCCAGACGTTCATATATATATATATATATATATATACTGTAGTGTATATATCTTATGTATATCTGTCCAGTGTGGAAGTTTCGGTTAGTGAGGGTTATTTGTTGGGTTAAAGCTCTTTATCTTCTGATTTTAGAAGTAAAGATACAGACAAATAGAACAATATGATGAAAATGTATATATGCTACACAATAAAAGCATAACCAATCATTTTCATTTTATTTCATTCTTTTTGTAACCAAACTCTAAAATCTGAAACTAAAATCTCTTTTACAACGTGTGACCTGGCCAAGAAAGCAGTTAAAATAACATAAACACATTAAAAACAGGGATCACAACAGCAATTTACCAAAGTATGAAACGCATAATCTGTTAAAAGTAACTTAAACTTGTTTAGTTATGGAAGCACATCGTCTTGGTACATTATTGCAAGCAGAAGAAGCATTATATACACTCTAAAAAAATTTTGGGTTGTATTAACTAAATTTTGGGTCAAATATGGACAAACCCAGCTGGTGGGTTATACTTACAGTTTTAAATTGCATTTTTAATCAAATGTTTGGGTTTGTCCATATTTGACCCAAAATTGAGTTAAAACAACCCAGCATTTTTTAGAGTGTATAAAGAGTAATTTCCTCTGTTCGGACCAAAGGATCTTTAATAAATAGCAAACCGTTTGAGCAAAGAGTATTTGTATTAGAAACGCAGAGAGACAATTAAGATGTAATTAGACCACAAATAGACATTATAATAAGGCAAACTGCAAATCTCAGTCATTATGGGCACTGATTTCATAAACAATAGGGTTCAAATTTAGCTCTTCATCTGCAGGTCATATTCCAAGCAATAGGAAGTGACTCACACGAATCCCTGGTTTGAATTAAACACCATATATACATCCTGTACATGTAAAGCCACACTTCACCTTCTGCTCGCTCTGAAACATACATCTGAGACTGTGAGTCAGACAGACTGCATAGATTAACACTGATTACTGCTAACCACACACATATGCACTTCATTTGCACAAAATGAAGGACCTGTAATAACCCACTGCTAATGTGATGAGTACAGAGACCAGAGTCTGTGCAACGTATTAACTGGTCACACCAACATTATGGTAAATTCGGAGAAATAAACGACTGTGCTTACATTAATTAATACTGTTGCAATAATTATAGCAGGAAATAAAAATTCAGGGAATTTTAAACACTTTTTGCCATTGAGACGACTAGGAAAAATGTCACAATTATATTGAATTAACCATATGTAATAATACATTTGAATATGCGCACGATTAATCGCAATTTCCATGTAATCGCACTTAAAAACTTTTTTTTTTTTTTTACATGGACACCTTTTGGGTTCAATCTTAATGAAATCTATCCGACTGATGAATCGACACTACGGAGGCGTATTGCATTCACTTGAAGAAAAAAAATCTAATATGTTTTTCTGAATGAACAAGTTAATTATCTCAGAATTACGAGATCATTTGTCATGAGAAAAAAAACTTTTGCTCTGTTTTTCTGAATTAACGAGTTAATTTTTCATGAATCATGAGAAAAAAGTTTTGCTCTGTTTTTTTTTTTAATTAACAAGTTAATTTTTAATGGATTTTTTTTTTGCTCTGTTTTTCTGAATTAACGAGTTAATTTTTCATGGATTTTTTTTTTTAATTCAGAAAAACAGAGCAAAAAAAAAAATTCCATGAAAAATTAACACGTTAATTCAGAAAAACAGAGCAAAAACTTTTTTCCATTGAAAAATTATATCGTAATTCTGAGATAATAAACTTGTTTATTCAGAAAAACAGAGTAGATTTTACGCTTCCGTAGTACACAGTGTTTACTTGAACAATAAATAAAGTAATCGGGTTGATGTGCGCGTTTATGTCACAAAGCCTCAAATTGGAATTGTTTGATTGACGAACTGCTGCTGTTCGCGCATAAGTCCGATTAAGCCATCAATCCGATTATAAAGATCCATAAACGGCTCTTAAACGCTGCACTGTGAAAGCACCAGCGGGCATATTTTAAAACATGAGAATAATTTATGAACCTCCTGTCCAAAAAAACAAAACAAAAACACAGTAACATGCTTTACTCCAAACTCACATTAAAACGATATTGAGCTCATCCTTCTGTGAGATGATGGTTTGTTCCACTGAATCAAGCAGTTGTGTTTAATGTTCAACAATCAAAGCGTTTAAATCTTCTGTTTATTCAGTTATAGCGATTAGTTACTCTCTCTGGGATTCCCTTTCGTGTGTGCTTGATAGCGCCCTCTGGCGTTCAGATGAAGTTTACAGCGATCAGCCGTTCTGCACTGAATACAATACAATAATCGCAGCGGGTGGTTTCGTTGCAATTCATCGTCTATTACTATAATCGGTTAGCGTTCTTTGACATATTTATTCCTGTTATTAAAGCTGAATTTTCAGCATCGTTACTCCAGTCTTCAGGCCCAGCAGGGTCACATGATCCTTCAGAAATCACTCTATGATGATTTGATGCTCAAGAAACATTTATGATTATATTAAATGACGAACGTTTTGCACTTTTTGATGAATAGGACGTTCAAAAGAACAGCATTTATTTGAAATAAAAATATGTTGTAACACAAATGTTTTACTGTCCCTTAAAATTTGTCCTTGTTGAATAAAAGTATTAATTTATATCAAAACAAAAAAGTACACAAAGTACACAAGTTCGTCTGAGAGAGAGAGAGAGAGAGAGAGAGAGAGAGAGAGAGAGAGAGAGAGAGAGAGAGAGAGAGAGAGAGAGATCGCTCCAGTCAGTGCAGTCAGTGAGTCTTCAGTGTTTATCTCGCATCCTTCACCAAACGACACACTTTACACGGCTTTTAAACCACTTTCAACAAATGGGACACACATCTGCCTAAACATTTGGGGGTTGGGACCTGCATAGCGAACAATATCTTCCACGACAAACAAGGTACGGCGACGTTTACACGTTATTTTTCTCTCTTGGTTAGTTTGACAAAACTGCCTTCACTAAAAGCATTAATGACACCTTACAATAAGTTTCATTAGTTAACACCCATTGAACTAACAACGAGCAATACATTACAGAATTTATTCATCATTGTTCATGTTAGTTAATAAAAAATCCAGCTGTTCATTGTTTGTTCATGTTTAAACAGTGCATTAAATAATGTCACAACCTTTAATATTAGGCCTAACTAAGATTAATAAATGATGTAGAAGTATTCTTAGTTAATGTTAACTATGTTAGTTAACTAATGATAACAAATTATTGAATAGTGTTATTCAGTAAACAGTGAATACTTCAGTCTACTTCAATGAACTGTTGTATAAAGAAGTGTTTTTCTTTGTTGCTGTAGGTTGAGCGATATGTTGCTTTGCATATTAAAAAGTGAAGTTCTAGATTCATTGCTGGTTTCTGGATTATTTAAATTGTCATATGGATGGTTTTCCAGAACTGAGAGTCAAATCTCTTTACAAATGTACAGACTTAAAGACTTACAAAGCTTTGTTTTGGGTCTAATTGAAACCAGTTTTATTCTTGAAGATCAGGCTATGCAAACACCTCTGGCCTCAGTGCTCAGGCGTTGGTGAATTCATTGGTGTGGCGAATCACAATATCATTCAGTTGTTGCTCATTGCTCATTCATCCATGCACTGTAGGGTTTTCAATGACAGCTCAGAACTAGCTTTCAAACTTTTTATGATGGGCTGATGTGTGTGTGTTGACCCCATCAGTCATGTTTAGTAAACTGATCACATTTCCAGAGAGACAGTGTTCATGCATCTCTCATTAAGGTCATAAAGTCCTCTGGTCGCACAGATGGAAAGATCCTGCTGTGAAACATTCCTGTTGAGTGAGAGGTTCGAGTTAGTGACAGATCTGAGGCATAAAAAGCCCTCTGTGTGTGTGTGTGTGCTGGCAAAAGCTCCTGACTGCACAGAGAAAACAAAAACACAGGAATGAGTTGATGAAGGAACGTGTGTGTGTGTGTATATGAGTGGGCCAGGCTTAGTCCATATCTCCTGTCGCTCTTTCTTCATCTCTCTAACCCTCTCTCTCTCTCTCTCTCTCTCTCTCTCTCTCAAAATCAGGGAAACACCCATAAGGGACAGCATTATCCTTTTGGCACGTTCACTGAGGAATATTTGCAGGGAGGAACTGATCCGTGAGCTGGACGCTGTCAGGTAATTCATTCTTCAACTCTGAAATGTCTTTAAATAGTGATAATAAATCTGGTATACATTTTGATCTGGACCCACTGAGAGAAAAATAGCATCATAATAACATATTCAATATTTCCATGAACCGAGTGTGACTGTTAGAACACATATTTGTGTATTTCTCAGTTATTTTTCATCTATGTGTCATTTTTGCCTCAGCCCTTTTAGATTCTTTAAAGGGATACTCCACTTTTTTTTTTGGTAAATAGGCTCATTTTAATGATAAGTCGAACCACGAACGCCGTTCATACAGTTCAGAAGTTCGCTGAATTTCATACAGTTCAGATCACTCAGCACGACGTTCGTGGTTCGACTTATCGAGACTATTTTCAAAGATGGCTCCTGTCTGTAAACACGAAGTGAACTGTTTTTATAAAGTATCTTCTTATTAAACGGTCTGTACACTTACAAAGTTCTCAATGCTTCGTTTTGCATGTATGGACCCTCATTATGTTACTGCGTTAGTGTGGGGCTATTTTGAGCCTTGTTAGTGGTATAAACTAGCGATTTCTTTTTACTTAGTCAATGCCCCCATTACTAGCATTATACGCTAAACAGTTTTTAGAGATAAAACTCTTTATTCGATTATCATGAAAAGAAATCTCAGAGAACGATTGACTAGGTACCGATGTTTTATTAGACCAAAGGTTCATTGTTCTCCTTTAAAATGCTAAAGAATTGAATATGAACTTGGTATGCAATACAATACAGTACACTGTCAATTACAGTATAGTAAAATAAATACATTTAGCATTAGTATTAGTAATGTTGTAGCAATCGAGAAAAACTGTAAAATGCTGAGTCAACTATAAGTAAAGCATTTGTTGATTGATTCCCTTGACATGTCTGTGATGCTATCCCAGAGTTAATGCTGTCACACACATCTGCCAAACAAATACAAATACATTTAGATTCATTTCCATATATAGTTTTCTGATCTAGTAACTTGTTCAGGAGCACATCTGGTGCCGCATTGCTCTTGTGAAGTGCTCCGCTACGAGTCCCACGAAACACAAGTCACGATAAAAGAGCTCAAGATGTGTAGAAGCAGGTTTGCTTCGGCATATGCGTTTTTACGTCACATTTGCTTTTGTTAACACTCTCATAGGCCCTGTTTACACTTGTATCAAGACACTTTCGAACACTTCTAGAGGTAGTTGAAAACACATTACACCGGATTGCTTTCGTAGTGTAAACACTCATGTGGTCGAATGTGTTCAAACAGCCTCTAAAGACTGTCTACTGACCTAATGACGTATAATGGGAAGAGCGATTGCCAGATGGGTTTAACCTTTGCCAGCTGGAGACCCAAGTTTGCTTTGATGATGAAACGCACCAAGCACAATGCTCTCTCTCCATTCCTGATTTCTAACACACACTTGCGGCATTCGGCTGGTCTCTCGGCTTCCAGAGCAGAAACTAAAGCTGATTCTCCACATGTTTCCGTCGTCTTCAGTCGCATTCTCATGTAAATAGCTTGAGCTTATTTTGTCCATTAGATCGAAAGATCTGAAAAAGCCGGCCATTGACCCTCCCTTCAAAGAAATCAGGACAAAAGTAGTTGAAAGTGGACTGAAGAGAGCGATTAAAACATTAGGTGTGAACGGGAATGTTTCTTTCGTCTACTTGTGATCCGATCGACCAAAACACAATCTCAATACCATTGTAAACAGGGTCGCATTGATCAGTCTTCAGCTCCACGATTTAAAGGAACGGTATGTAAGAAATGCATTTCAATTAATCATAAAATGGCCCTGATATGTCACTAGACATTAAGAAATCATGTTTATTTCAAACACTTATATCACTGACGACAGTACCAGGTTTGGCCACAATCTTACATACGGTTCCTTTAATATTATTAAGTAATATAAAAATATCAATATTATGGTTTTTCAATTATCTTGGGTTTTCTGTTCGCTTGAACATCCTAAGTAGCTTGACACAGCAACCAATGGTGTGAGATGGGGGCGTGGCTATCTCACAGCAACCAGTGGTGTGAGATGGGGTGTGGCTATCTCACAGCAACCAATGGTGTGAGATGGAGGCGTGGCTATCTCACAGCAACCAGTGGTGTGAGATGGGGGTGGGGCTATTTCACAGCAACCAATGGTGTGAGATGGGGGTGGGGCTATTTCACAGCAACCAGTGGTGTGAGATGGGGGCGTGGCTATTTCACAGCAACCAATGGTGTGAGATGGGGGCGTGGCTATCTCACAGCAACCAATGGTGTGAGATGGGGCGTGGCTATCTCACAGCAACCAATGGTGTGAGATGGAGGCGTGGCTATCTCACAGCAACCAGTGGTGTGAGATGGGGGTGGGGCTATTTCACAGCAACTAATGGTGTGAGATGGGGGTGGGGCTATTTCACAGCAACCAATGGTGTGAGATAGGGGCGTGGCTATCTCACAGCAACCAATGGTGTGAGATGGAGGCGTGGCTATCTCACAGCAACCAGTGGTGTGAGATGGGGTGGGGCTATTTCACAGCAACCAATGGTGTGAGATGGGGGCGTGGCTATCTCACAGCAACCAGTGGTGTGAGATGGGGGTGGGGCTATTTCACAGCAACCAATGGTGTGAGATGGGGGCGTGGCTATCTCACAGCAACCAATGGTGTGATATGGAGGCGTGGCTATCTCACAGCAACCAATGGTGTGAGATGGGGGTGTCGCTATTTCACAGCAACCAGTGGTGTGAGATGGGGTGTGGCTATCAACACAGCAACCAATGGTGTGAGATGGGGGTGTGGCTATTTCACAGCAACCAGTGGTGTGAGATGGGGGTGTGGCTATCTCACAGCAACCAATGGTGTGAAATGGGGCGTGGCTATCTCACAGCAACCAGTGGTGTGAAATGGGGGCGTTGCTATCACACAGCAACCAATGGTGTGAGTTAGGGGCATGACTATTTGTCACAGACCAATGGCAGATTGGGGGATTGTTCTGGGAAAAATTGTTTGATAATATTTGCAATTCCACTTGGTGACTAGTGAAAATTCATCGCCTTTAAGCAATTCACACTCCTTTTAATCTAAGTAAAAGTCAATTGACAATAAAGTGATTTTTCTCTCATTTTGCCTTTAGGATGTTGACCCAAGAAGACATGGACTATGAAAACCTCACTTACGAATACTCGGACTTTGGCTACGTAGAGGAGACCAAAGCTGATGGCTACACTCAGAGAGAGGCTCTTCACATCATCTCCGTGATCATCTACAGCCTGGCGTTTACTCTGGGCGTAATTGGGAATGGCCTGGTGATCTGGGTGACCGCGCTCAAAAGCAAAAGGACCGTAAACAGCGTATGGCTGCAGAATCTGGCCATTGCCGACTTCGTGTTTGTGCTTTTCCTTCCGTTCTCCATCGACTACGTGCTGCGAGACTTTCACTGGCTCTTTGGGAAGACCATGTGCAAGCTGAACTCGTTCGTGTGCACCACGAACATGTACGCCAGCGTGTTGTTCCTCACCGTCCTGAGTTTGGATCGCTACATCTCACTGGTCCACCTCAACTGGTCGGAAAGGTATCGTAACGTCCGGCGGGCCTGGTGGGTGTGTGCGCTGATCTGGATCATATCTTTCTGTTTGAGCTGTCCGGCCCTGGTATTCCGTGACGTAATCCAACATGACGGGAAGGTCGTGTGTTTTAATAACTTTCACAACGAGAGCATGCACATGGTAGCGGTGAGACACATTGCACTCGTGTCTCTGCGAACCACCGTGGGCTTTCTGCTTCCGTTCGCCACCATCACCGTAAGCGGCGTGTTGCTCGCTATCAAGATGCGCCAGTCCAACTCGTTGCGCTTGACCAGCTTCTCCAGGACCGTCTCCGCTGTGATCCTCGCGTTCTTCTTGTGTTGGGTGCCCTTCCACACCTTCAGCCTGATGGAGCTGAGCATGCACCACAGCACATACCTTCACTCCGTGCTCATGGTGGGCTTCCCGCTCGCCACCAGTCTGGCCTTCTTCAACAGCTGCGTCAACCCCATTCTCTACGTACTGCTCACCAAGAAAGTGCGTAAACTGGTGAGGAGGTCGTTGTTCAACTTCACCAAGAACTCTCTGAGAGAACTGAGTCAGTCTGTGTCCGCCACCGAGTTAGACTCGGCACTGGTCAGCTATTCTCCTGAAGAGCCCATGGCCAACTCCTCCATCTGACGGGCTGCAGTCCCGACTCAAGAAAGCCCTAGAGCTCCAACTGGACTGAAAATAGATACTGGCTTTTAAAGGTGCAGTAAGACCAATGTTACTCGCAATGGCTATGTTTACATGCACACCTTGTGTTGAATTCATTTCCTATTGATGAATGTAGTGTTTACATGAACGCTAAACGTGATCAGGTTTATATCGGGTCACAAGCTTTCCGCATCCGCTCACTGTACAAATAAATATTGAGTTTCCCGGTGTTTGTGCATGATAGCCATTCTCCTACATTGGTTTATTTGTTTTAAACAGCAGATTTAATGTCCGTCTCTAATCATGATTTGGAGACAATGAGCATATAAACTGTTTTGCCGCTGCTTATATTTATCATCACGCAGTAAAAATGGCCAAAGCCAGTCGTCTGTGGATGAGAATAGGAAACAAGGACTGGTGGGACGTTGTCCTGCTCCACTTCACAGAGTTAAAGGAGAAGTTTGGAATGACAGGACACTCGTTTATATGACACTTTATTCAACAGGAACAACAGCTCGTTCCTCACGACATACGTCATCACGCTATTTCAACGTCATTGCACATGCGTCATTTCAGTTTTGGTTTTCAATCCGATCAAGTGTTAACATGTCCTCTCGATCTGATTAGAAAAGGAATGAACCACCTCTTTTAATCTGATCGAAATTTTCGGTTAAGGTGTTTACATGAAGGGTTTCAGTCCGATTGAGCCGTCAGTATGATTACTAATGGATTATTTGGTTGCATATAAATGTAGCCAATGTAAGCTCTGCAACCATTTTCCGGCTTTCATTCTTTGGTGACTCCAGTGATAGAAAGCTTTTCGTAAGATAAACTCATGTTTTAAAGCTATTGCCTGATCATAACCCATGATATTTCTCTAAGCTTTTCTCTTTTTTGTAATGTCTCTCAGCCTCAGCTGTCAGTCTTTCTTCTAATCTCCCTCTTGCTCACTCTCTCTCCTTCCCAATCATGAGTGGACACGTCCCTTACATCTTATTGGCTAACTCTCTCTCCTCCCCCATCATGAGTGGACACACCCCCTACTTCTGATTGGCTCACTCTCTCTCCTCCCCCATCATGAGTGGACATGCCCCCTACTGCTGATTGGCTCACTCTCTCTCCTCCTCCATCATGAGTGGACACGCCCCCTACTGCTGATTGGCTCACTCTCTCTCCTCCTCCATCATGAGTGGACACGCCCCCTACTGCTGATTGGCTCACTCTCTCTCTTCCATCATGAGTGGACACGCACCCTACTGCTGATTGGCTCACTCTCTCTCCTCCTCCATCATGAGTGGACACGCCCCCTACTGCTGATTGGCTCACTCTCTCTCTTCCATCATGAGTGGACACGCCCCCTACTGCTGATTGGCTCACTCTCTCTCTTCCATCATGAGTGGACACGCACCCTACTGCTGATTGGCTCACTCTCTCTCCTCCTCCATCATGAGTGGACACGCCCCCTACTGCTGATTGGCTCACTCTCTCTCTTCCATCATGAGTGGACACGCACCCTACTGCTGATTGGCTCACTCTCTCCTCCTCCATCATGAGTGGACACGCCTCCTACTGCTGATTGGCTCTCTCTCCTCCATCATGAGTGGACACGACCCCTACTGCTGATTGGCTCACTCTCTCTCCTCCATCATGAGTGGACACGATCCCTATTGCTGATTGGCTCACTCTCTCTCCTCCCCCATCATGAGTGGACACGCCCCCTACTGCTGATTGTCTCACTCTCTCCTCCCCCATCATGAGTGGACACGCCCCCTACTGCTGATTTCTCACTCTCTCTCCTCCCCTATAATGAGTGGACACGCCCCCTACTGCTAATTGGCTCACTCTCTCTCCTCCCCTATAATGAGTGGACACGCCCCCTACTGCTAATTGGCTCACTCTCTCTCCTCCCCCATCATGAGTGGACATGCCCCCTACTGCTGATTGGCTCACTCTCTCCTCCCCCCCCCCATCATGAGTGAACACGCCCCCTACTTCTGATTGTCTCACTCTCTCCTCCCCCATCATGAGTGGACACGCCCCCTACTGCTGATTTCTCACTCTCTCTCCTCCCCTATAATGAGTGGACACGCCCCCTACTGCTAATTGGCTCACTCTCTCTCCTCCCCTATAATGAGTGGACACGCCCCCTACTGCTAATTGGCTCACTCTCTCTCCTCCCCCATCATGAGTGGACATGCCCCCTACTGCTGATTGGCTCACTCTCCCCCCCCCCCCCATCATGAGTGAACACGCCCCCTACATCTGCTTGGCTCACTCTCTCTCCTCCCCCATCATGAATGAACACGCCCCCTACTGCTGATTGGCTCACTCTCTCTCCTCCCCCATCATGAGTGAACACGCCCCCTACTTCTGATTGGCTCACTCTCTCTCCTCCCCCATCATGAATGAACACGCCCCCTACTGCTGATTGGCTCACTCTCTCTCCTCCCCCAACATGAGTGGACACGCCCCCTAAATCACTTACTGCACCTTTAAAACTAATGCAGTACATAACCGTAAATATGTATTTAATGCATCATCTCTTTTATATTTAGTACCAATACAGTAGTCAACATCTGAAGTGGATTAAAACCTTTCATCAAAGTTATACATGAAATTTGAATAATACCCGTTCTTGTTTTAGGACAACTTTTATAAACTTTTTTTGATCCACTTCAAATGTTGACTACTGTATATATAAAGAGTTGAGTATAGAGTGTATAAGTGCATCTTGTGTAATGCGGCATCTGGGTTCTATATAGAACGTTAAAGGGTTCCGTCATGCACTTCACATATAGAACCTTTTAGGAGGTCCCATCAGGGATCATGTTATGGATTAGCTTTTAATTTATACATTTTTATTTTAAATACGTTTTATAAATCAAGTAGCTCATAAACACACTAGAATTTTTTTTTAAATAACCCGTTAAACATGTAAGTATTATGCAATCATCTTTTTATATATTTTTTGGCGTACAGTGTTCTTCAAAGTTGAGTCAAGTGCCCTAGAGTTCTATATAGAACCATGACTGAACATTATTTTCTAAGAGTGTAAAATTGAATGAAATTTCAGGTCATTTTACATATTATACTATTGTGTCATTTGGATGCACACTGTAACAGAATTAATAAAGTTACTAATAAATTGCTCTTTCTAATGTTTTAGAATTATTCTGCTTTATAAGTTATTAGATAAAAGCTCTACAACTTTAAAGTAACAACCTTTGTGCTATAATGTTGATTATAAAAAAGAAAATCTGGGTTACTGAAGAACTTCTATTGGAAGTGAGCAGACTCTTCCAATGGTAGTGTCACATTGTGATGAATTGCAAGACGCAGGATTAGGAAAAATATCATTAATCTTTAAAAGGTCTTTAATAATAAATTCAAAAAGGAAAAATGCAGAAGAATGCCAGGAATAAAAGCATACCACATAGATGAGACCAAACAAAGAACTGGGGAAACTAAGGGCTTAAATGCACTGTAAAAAAATATGTTCATGATTTTTTCTTTTGTCAAATCAACTTAGATGATTCTTGTAGTTCAGATAACATAATATGTTGAGTTTCTAGTGATTAAATTAATCTCCTTCATTGTATTAACTAAATTTTTCAATTTCAATGAACCTAAACTTTTAAGGCAACCAGGTTACTTATTTTTTTTAAGTTAAACCAACAATATTTTTTTAGTGTAGAGACATAATGATTGACCGATGAATGTAAATGATAACTAAAGGAACTATCTAGGGATTAATCAAGACTAAGGCTATGTTTACACGTGGCCGGCTATGATCATAAACAGACATTTCACCCTCTCCGTTTTCCAAAAATAACATCCTGCACACCCGTCTGTTTCAGAAAAGAGTTCGTTTACACGATCCCGTGAATATATGCGGCCACGGGCATGCCAAACCTGTAGGTGGCAGTGTAACGAGAAGCTCAAGCCCACGTCAGGCTAAACTGACCTGGAGACAGTGAGAAATGTATGGAAACAAAAGGGCAACTAAACTCGGCATAATCCTGACAGCTATATTGAATGTTAACTTTTTTTATTGTGAAGCTCAAATGCTCGCCTTGCTCTGTTCTGTGATGCGCATTCGCGATTCTCCTCAAAATGAACAAATCTTTTTCCGAGTCAACTTGTTCATTTCAATCGTTAAATGAACCAAATGACACAAAAAAAGATTTGTTCATTTTGATGAAAGAATTCGAAAAGGAGAGTCACAAACACGCATCACAGAACAGAGCAAGGCGAGCATTTGAGCTTATAAAAATTAAACTGTTTAAGTTTATTTAAAATGTATTAAATGAGTGATCGTTTCGCTTGATAAGACCCTTATTCATCGTCTGGAGTCATTTAAAGCCCTTTGAAGCTGCACTGAAACTCTCATTAGGACCTTGAACCGTTTGGTTCACATTGAAGTCCATTATATGGAGAAAATCCTGGAATGTTTTCATCAAAAACCTTCATTTCTTTTCGACTGAAGAAAGAAAGACATGGACATCTTGGATGACATGGGGGTGAGTAAATTATCAGCAAAAGTTTTTTTTAAAAGTGAACTACTATCGCAGTGTTGCTCTTAAAGCAGCTCGGACATGCATTAGGCTTTCTAACCGGTCTGTGAGACTAGTGTATTATAGGACCGCTCACATTGTTACCACATGTGTGTATCATGACTGACTCATCAAAGCTCAGAATGAGAGGGAACGCAGAAAACATCTGTGAGTCAAATTTTCTTGAAATATGCTGTATAAAAGTCACAAAAAAAGGAAAAAGGAGAGCACAGGGCTGGAAGCCTTTATCCAATTGACTTACTACACAGATTTTGCTGAAGTGTTCCTCTCAAGAGCACCGTAGTAGGCAAAGGCTAGGTGTCCATTGATATAATAAGAGCTTCTCTGGTGAAAGATTTGACAGAATTTACAGCACATGGGCCTAAAAAGTGCTGCGTCAGTTTTAACAAGCTTCGGGATTACTGATGATTTACTGTTGTTTGTGAGTTTCAATAGATTTATCAAATGCAGGTTATTTTAACCCTTTAAGTGACTATATTTTCTTGAGAGGAATACCTAACTTAACTCAAAGTGATCTGGTTGAGGTACGTTATGCCAAAAGAAATCCTCTAGATGTCACAGTGTCAATCAACAGCACTTTTAAAACACTTCTTCTAACATTATAAACAAATAAATCACCCCAGCCATGTGAACTGTTTTTGGTGAAACTTTGCAAGCTAAGCATTTTTTTTTTTTTACATATTACACTGTAAGAGCCTTAACTTTACAAAATGATGTTATTTGGTGCTATGAAAAACTTAATTTTAATAATTTTTCAAAAACATGCTCCAAACGGTTGATTTGGCACATAACGGTTAACGATCACCCCCCTTTTTGAGAATGGACATTACAATGCACTATTAAAACTTGGTTGTAATAAATGGAATAAAGACATGGGTTTAGTCTTGTTTTGAAGGAAACTCTCTGCAGATTATTGCTGAAGTAAAAACACTTCAAAAAGTCATGGAAGTTTTAAATTTACATTACTGTACTAAATATTTTTCTTTTATACAAAATACATATTTTACAAAATATTTTTTACATATATATCTAACCAAGTTGTGTTCCAAATTTGAAGTTGATATCACAAAAATTGAAGTTCCCATGAGATGTTGTTTAGGCGTAATACCAAAAATGACATTGAATTGAATTGTATTCTTTCTGCTGTAACAAATTAATAAATTTCTGTCCAAATATCACTTCTGTTACAAACTATGGACCCTTGAGATTTTCTGACAATGTGTTTTGTCAAGATTAGAAAAGGTTTTGAACATAAATTATGATGGACAATGAAAAATTATGGCAAAGTATGTGTATGAATTCCGGTACCATTACCATTAAGTGACATCTCAACCATTTGGTAGACGCCGATATTTAAAAAAATATGGGATGTGTTGGAAAAAAATACATTGAGTGAGGTTACTAGCGACATAAGAAGATAAGAAATGCAAACAAAGGATTTTAATCTCAAAGGATTTTAAAACTGGAACCTTAAATATTCTTGAACACTCCCCTGTCTTCCATTGG